AATAATAACAAATTGATAACGGTAGGCAAAACAGTTGGCTACACCGGAAATACGACCGTGATTTGGTGCAGTCGGTAAACCTGCCGGTTACAGAACGACGCGGTGCTCAGTAAATCAAAAATATATATATATTAATATACGAGTACATATATGTAGTAATTAAATACTTTTTGCGCTACTTAAAATTCATTTGAACAAATATCAATTTATTAATTTACACAAAAAATATATTACAATTGAGGCCGATAGCCCTGGCAGCTAATGCTTATTAACTTATTTATTATAATTTTAATTGTAATAAAGTCTTAAATAATTATAATAAATATAGCAATTACAATATATGTACATATGTATATTCATATACAAGAGTTATATAAATGCTGTTTACAATTTCACAATACACATATACTATACATATTTTCGTGTATATATACATACAAGTATATATTTGCTTGCATACATAATTTCTTTCAGATTAAATGCCTACAAATTATTATAGTCATACAATTTTAGGCCTGGTGGAAGCACCGGTTGTCGTATTTGCTCATACAATTCTAAATGTATGCTGATAAACTAGCAGTGGATCATTTTCTACAAGAAACTAAAAAAACTGGTTACAAAAGTGTTTTAAGGTCGAATTGTTTCTCAGCTTTGACAAGAAAAACGCACAAATACAAATTAGAGTGTCTTAGGCAACTTAAAAGAGCACATTTAGTACAATACACAACAAACGTGGAACGTGTAGATGCGTAAGCTCAGTTCAAAACAACCAAATCAAGAATAAATGCTTCAGCTTTGTTCTATAAAGTCAGCTATATACATACACATTAAAATAAAGTTAATGAAAAGAGCAATTAGTTAGAGAAAAAAGTTTAGAATGTTTGGGTATACTAATTTTGAAAACATATACATATATACATACCTATGTACATAAATACAATACAATTGAAAACAAACAAAAAAAAAAAACCTTCGGAGGAGCGGAAAACATATGAAGTCATACCACAACATTTTTTATTAGACGCAATAATTTATTTAGGTATACAAATATTCATATTCGTTTTGCTGCCAAGTGGTGAAACAAATGCTGCCCATTGAACGACTACCAAATAATTGAAAAGCTTTTAATATAACATACATATATATATATATGAAAATATGTGCGAGAATAAACCAACAAGTGGCTATTTAGTGAAAAATTAAGAAATACTATAAAAATGCTTTTCACTTTACCGGTATACAATTCATGGCGTAATCGTAACCACAACCGAATTTATGTGCGTTAGATTATCGCTTTATACCATAGCTAGATGCTAAAGTTAAACAAAAACAAGAAAAAGGTTAACTTCGGTTGCGCCGAAGCTAAGTATAATATCCTTCACAAAAAAAAAAAGTTTGCATACAAGAACTTGCTTTGGAGCGTTCAGTTTGTATGGCAGCTACATATATGCTATAGTGATTCGATCTTAAAAATTTGTACGGGGATTGTAGTGTAATCTTGGACAATAATTCATGACCAAATGGGTGAAGATATCTTATCAAATAAAAAAAATTTCCATACAAAGACTTGATTATGATCGGTCAATTTGTATGACAGCTATATCCAATAGTGGTTCGATATTGGGGTTCCGATAAATGAGCAGCTACTTAAATAAAAAACGTATGCAAAATTACAGATCGATATTAAAGAAACGGAGGGACAAACTCCGGCATATACAAACGAACATGGCGAAATCGACTCAACTCGTCACTCGTCGTCAATCATTTATTAGTACTCGTATACTTTATAGAGTCTCCGACGTTTTCCTTTGGGTGTTACAAATTTCGTGGCTAACTGAATATATGTGTCTACAAGACAATTTTCAGATTTACAATAGCAAAACTACCATAAGAAGGTTGCATGATTATTTTACAAGATTGTGATCATGCGTATAATTTTTTCATAGTTTCAATGTAACACTAACATATGTGGATGGACTACTTGTGGTTTTGAATCACATGATGTACCAACGCAACAGGGCCATTGAAGCCCCATGTTGCGTAGTAATCGAAACGATGTCGTCAGGGAGAACAACTGAATGCAGCTAAAAAAAAAACACTGACTGAAGAGTTTATCGCAAACTCATATCAATATACATGTACATTACATACATATGTATGTAAAGTGTAACCAAAGCGATATTTTTAATTTTATATAGCAAACTCACCTCATGTAAGATTTCGATTTACATTTTTAAAGAGCCTGCAGAGAGCAATAATAAAAATTCTATCACAAAGAACATTTTTTGGGGTGCTGCAATTGACATAACAATGATTTCAATAATTTTTCGGTTTATATTGCATTGTACATAGCAATACCGCATAATTAATGACATCACTGCGAAGTTAAGTAGTTTAAAAACGTAGAAAAACAAGATGAATGAGAAAATAAACAAAAACGGAAAAGTTAAGTTCAATGTCAATGCATTATGTTTAATGGGTACAAACACATGTTTGTACCTAACAAATTATTATGTACAATATATATATGTACATATGTATATATTTTTCACTTATTTATAAGAAAAGTTAAATATAGCACGTGAAGCCGATTTTGCATTGGTGGAATTATACTGAAATCTATTTAAAATGTCGGTCAAGTCAATGCCGGTACTCAGAGCAAGTATTATCAACAGCGAATTATAAGAGTTTGAGACCCATTATCAGTTTGCTTTACACAAGCAATTCGAAAACTTTGTGTACCAATTCCGCGATTCGTCATGGCAATATTTCTGAATTGAACAACAAACAATAAACAACAACAAAGTAAATATGTAGGGGCAAAAGTAAATATATGTACATTATACCTGGTCGCAGATTTGCTTTTGCTTTTGTAATTTTTAATTTTGAAATATTTCTATGAACCACGTAATACGAAATTGTTTGCAACAATTTTCTAACATATGTTACGTTATGCTTTCCTCTTACGAGTAAGTAATATTAGAAAAAGTGTGAAATTTCCATTTTATAATATAGGTATGTATTTTAAGTTTAATTAATAATAATATAAAGACATGAAAAACACTTCATATATAAAGTATACACAACAAATGTACATATATGTTTTTACATAAAAAAAAATACGGCGATGATGCATGACTGATTCAACAATCGCATGCAACAGTTGAATATCGCGATAGCAATTGCACAAACAGCAGATCTTCCCTTAGTAGACAACAGCAACACCCACTCACCCAACAAACAAGGCGGTTTGAACTAACACGAATTGTTGTGCGTTAATATGTAAATACCAGCAGTATACAAATAGTAAAATGCTATAGAAATCAACAATAGGAAAACGTGCGTAAAAAAGTATAATACAAATAATTTAGGTCAACAGCATACAAGCACGAAGAGGCAGCGAAACAGACTGTCAGTGATGATGGGCCTTTATATATATTATTTTTATTTGGTTCTATATGAAAATACATACATTTGTTTGACGCTATATTATAAATGAAACGCACAAGGCGTTATACGCTTAGCTATTTTTGAAGGATAAGGTCACTGTGGCAGTGCCCAAACAAAAAAGATGAATTAATCATTTGGGGACTAGTCGATATAAGGAAGGAACAAAATGTGAAATTCGCGTGTTTAACTTGAATAAAAGTGTTCAATATTGACTACCTTTTGTAAACATAAACTTTGAGGGATATTGGATTGCATTGTATTTTAAACATATGGAACTCTTATATTTTTATACTAGGTAATATATAGGTATTCTCATAAACTCACCGCCCCAAATTCCAATTTTCAGCTGTTTTTTATCCAAGTTTTCTACATAATCACCTAGTACCTTATTTAGTACATCGGTGACCACTGATTCGAAAACCATATTGCTGCAGCACCAAGTTTACTCAAATGATCTAGTCGTCAATAAGATATGTGGCAGAAGCAAATTTTAACCGAAAGCTTTAATGTTGGTCATTAAACTTTTCAAACAATTTGCACACACGTTTAATAGCACTTTTTATTTATTACAAATTCGGGTTGTTTAATTTTATATCCTTATTGATTTTATCGTAATGATACTGCAACACAACCTAAAGGTTTGACAAAATGCACAAGTTATAATATTTTTGAAATTGCTTATTAGCATTAATATATTCACATGGATCGTACTTTTTGTTGTTTTCTGGTATACAAAAAATAAAATAAATATTATTATGACATCATCAAACCCGAATCGATGTCGATTGCAAACGGCTCAGTTCAATAATATCGCACGCAGCTATATGTGACTATTTAATATATGCTCTAATAATTATATTTATAAACAAATATTAAATTATATATTAACGTTATCTACTACACAGCTTTTTTCTATTTTACTTTTTTTTATCTACGCACCGAGATAAATGCGTTTAAAAGCACTAACCACAAGATGTTGCAAGAAAACTCTAATTTGACCAACTAACTTGTAAGGCCAAGAGTTAGAAGCTGATACTAAAGCGTAAACCCTAAAACAGCTGTTCATTATTGTGATTAGCCATTTTACAGGATTGTATAAAAGAACGTCAAAATACATTTGACATTCCCAGGTTGTTCCTTGACATGGAGTGTATTGTAGGGTGTTCTCCAAAGTCATAGAACTGCAAAACACAAGATTTTTAAAAGAATCCAAACGAATCACGACTACCCGAAACACCAATGCACTGAATGACTTTGTATCCCTACAAGAACAGTGACAGTCATCTGACCGGTAGTATGACAGTCATAGCTGAAAAAAATTTGTCACCGCGCAGAACAAAGTTTCTATCATTTTCTTAAGAGCCTTGTGCAAAAACTAATATAAACAAGCGCATTTATTTGATTTTGCATCTCTCTTTAACACATGGATATTCCTGAGCCTTTTCCTGAGTCATTGCTGATCATAAATTCATCAAAGCTGAAAATTGTTCTCTGGTTATGACTGAAAAGCTTTCATTTCACATCAATTTGTCAGTTGTAAACCTATCACTAATGAAAAATTCTTTTGCGCAGTATATAATACAATTTTTATTTCTTTAATAAATTCGAAACTCCTATTTAAAATTAGTTATAATAAATAACATACGAGCACATAAATATAAAAAATGAGTGCAACAAAAATATAATTAAATAATAAATTTTGAAAAGAAAATTTTGTTTTTGAATTGATTCCATGCTTGTTCCTCCCAAAAGCTCTGCTGTACGTGTTTCTCCAGTTCATGGATATTTCGGAGTTTAAAATTGCTCAAATAAAAATGAAAATAAACTAAAAATATAATTTATTAATAATAACTTATGTATAATATATTTGAAAACTCCTTCGTTATTCATTTATTTTCTTAACACAAAAAGAGTTATTGCACAGGAGCAAGCAAAACTTTGGTTATCGCGCGGAATAACAGCTAAATGGGAATTTCTCTCTCTGTTTAATATATACAGAATTTGCTTTTGGAAAAATCGTGAACATTCAACGCTGAAATATTGGGTGGATCTAGTAAACTAAAACATAATTAATTGCAGACTTTTGTTACCCCTACATATGTTTCATTGATTTCATGTCGTTCCACAATCTTGCTTATTTCACATCTCAACATTTGCGGCATTATCGTCCAATATTTCGTGTTGTTTAGATATCTTTTTGGAGAAAATCGAACATTTGTCTTTATAATAATTAATATCACATAAATATCAATTAAAAATGGCTGATGTACTCGATATTGATAACGCGGAAGAGTTTGAAGTTGATGAGGATGGTGATCGTAAGTAAAAACATATCTGACTTATAGAGAACCTTACACGCTAAAGAAATACTTCATACATATTTATTTTGCTATAGAGGGGATTGTACGTCTAAAGGAGAAAGTCAAACACCGCAAGGGTCGTGGATTTGGCAGCGAAAGTAATTCCCGAGAGCCCATACAAAGCTATGAACGCGTACGTCACGAAGACGAGGATGAACTCGAGCCGGGACCACAACGCTCCGTTGAGGGCTGGATATTATTTGTTACGTCAATACATGAGGAAGCTCAAGAAGACGACATACAAGAGAAATTTTGTGAATTTGGTGATATTAAGAATATTCACCTGAATTTGGACCGGCGAACCGGTTTCTCCAAAGGCTATGCGCTAGTCGAATACGAGACCCATAAAAACGCGTTGGCTGCAAAAGAAGCATTGCACGGTACCGAAATTATGGGTCAAGTTATACAGGTAGATTGGTGTTTTGTGAAAGGACCTAAACGTATGAAGAAATCAGAGAAGCGAAGGAGATAAGAAATGAAAAAATATTGATATCCGTCCGATACTTTGCAGTAGTAGTATCGAGAATGAAGAAATATTACTTTTTTTAAGGAAAATCAATATGAAATACAAATGTTTAAAAAATATATATTTAAAATGATTTCCATGTAATATCTATTTAAAAACCAAATAAATTAAACTCATTAAAACATCAAGTCCATGCCGTTTATATGCAAAGAAATAATAAAACGTTCAAGCTCTTATATTTAGTTTATTCAAACTGTATAAAATATATATACAAACAAAATATATACTTCGGAACCCTTTATTTCATTTTCTTTTGATGTAGTAAATGTTTTCTCATTGCCTTTTGCTTGTCACGGAAGCTTTTCTTCACCTTCGATCGTGCCTTATGTCGCATCATCACAAAGTTCTTATTTTTGCGATTTTCACGGTTCGTTTTGGAACTATTTTCGTTCTTACGTCCGTCCTTCCAACCAAACTTTTCACGACCCTCACGCCCAGCCTTTACTGTTTCTAATCTTGACTCTTTGTCGTGTTTACGCTTTTTGTAAATCATTTCAATGCTATTTAATTTTACAAATTCTGCGCGATCCTTTTCTAATGGTCTTTTACGTGCATTTGTAACCGTTTTCTTGAGCTGAGCAGCATTGATGCGCTTGAAATCCTCATCGGTGAAAATGCGCGTCATAGCTAGTTCTTGAGCTGCCTCTTTAGCGTCAAGAACTTGAATACCATCTTTTTCTTTAGCTTTCTCGTCATTTTTACTAGTTGTTTTCTTTTTCAACGTTTCACCACTTTGTGACTTCTCTGTGTTTTCGTTTTCTTCATCCTCCTCATCTGCACTTTCACTTTCTTCTTCTTCTTCCTCTTCCTCATCTACTTCTTCACTTTCATCTTCATCCTCATCTTCATCAACTTCCTCATCACTGTCTTCTTCATCATCATCTTTCACATTTGCACCTTCATCTTCGCTATGCGAAACATTTACCCATTCTCCGTCATTGGAGTCACTGTCGCTGTCATCATCACTTCCCAAATCGATTTCTTTAGAATTCTTAAGTAAAGCTTCTGCTCCAGGTATCGTTTCATGCACTTCCACTTCACCATATGCGCGAATTTTACGCTCTGCTTGTGCTTCTGTTAGGCGACCACGGTCCTTTTTGTGCAGCAATGCTGGCAATTGTTCACGATATAACATAATAAGTGAACGAGCAGCCATCATAACAGATTTCTCTTTGTATGTTTTGTACATAGCTAAATCACGCAAAAGGTCTTCTCCCATAGCCAAGGGGCATCGCATGCATATCTCACGTGTTGCATTTAGACCAATGGCCATAACATCGCTAGAATTACGTTCTGTGATGAAATTATTAGCAATTGTTTTCAAAACTGGTTCAATAATATCGCCAGGAACTAACTCATGGGAGGCTTGTGCCGCAAACTGCATTATGCGTGTGACTTGTCGTTGATGTGGTTGTAGGAATCTGGTAATATATGGATAATAACTAAACAAGAATAGCTCGTGAATACCAATTAAACGTGAGATAACATCCAAATGCATCAGTTTGACCTCGAAGCGTTCGTTTGTTGACTGCAGTTGTTTAAATAGACCCTCGGCCATACCTTGGGGATTATGCACTAAGTGAATGCCAGAAAAATTGAAAGCCGGAGCATTCTTCTTTTTCTTCTGCGCTTTTATTGCTTGCTTTTTTATTTGTTCTAATTGCTTCTTACGCTTTTTTGTCTTTTTATTAACACGATTTTGCATGATAGCACCTTTGAGGTCCACTTCATTGTCACTGTCGGAATCATCGGAACCCTTTTCATCATCATCATGTCCTAAGAAGAATTTTAAAGATGCCACGAGCACCTATTTTCAAAAATATTACTATTATTTCTACAACGCTTTTACTTTTAATAATAACCATACCTTCATTATTTTTGAAAAGCAACCTACTGTTGCTATAACGTTAACGGTTTTTTCATCGTTCCAAATATTCTTTTTATATAACTCAATCATAATATCTATTGACATCTTTGCAGCCTTTGGATTGGCATCTTTTAACATGGAGTACATGAAATTTTGCAATGTCTATTGAAAAATAAAAATTCTAGTTAATGTTTAAAATTGTAGCTTAATTTTTCACACACCGAGTTAAGTTTCATATCTTTGTGTTTTGCATTCATATTTTTTATATCATTTATTATGTGTGTTTGTAGAAAAGAACGCAAATTCTTATCAGGACAGCTTAAAAGTTGAAAGAATAATTCCAACAAATCAATAGCTGGTATCAAATTCTTATTACGCATCAATATTAAAGCCTTAACGAAGCAATTACGCATAATAGGATCCAATGTTGTAGCATGATTCTTCAACAGATCCACTAAATGTTGTGGAAATTTTTCACATTCAACCGGATAACATTGCGCGACCTTCATTAAAAAACACTTGTTAACATATTAAATAAAGAATATTTCAAATAAACGTACCTGCGCTATAAACATCACCAGTTCATCTAAAGATTTGTTCTCCTCACCAGGATTGAGGGCAAACACTTCTAAACTACTAAGGAAATGTTGATACTGTTGATGGAAGTCATCCTTGTATGAATCGGGATCACGTTTAATAAGATTTTGAAGCTGTGGCAAATTATCGGGCAATTGATTGTTGTGACGAACCATGTTGTTTACGATGAGAAATCACAACACAGTGTTGTTTTACAACGGTTTTTTGGTAAAAAACCAAAATAAAATTTCTCCAATTGCGTTTCCTAGCCAAACACGTTGTTGGTCTCACACAGCTTCTTAAAAAAGAAACAATTCACAGTAGAAATGTTTTTGACATTTGTTTTGCCTTCTTGTTTTTTATTTTGACAACGATTTTGAAGAGTGTGTTGTTTTTGTAAATTTCAGTGTTACCGAATTCGCTACAGCTATTTTTTATACCACAAATACTGTTTGTGGCTATAACTAATTATACTAGAAATGAGTTTTGAGAACGATGTACTTAAAACTAGTTTCTGTTTTAAAGACTTTTTAAGGATTTATGTTCTCTGAAAAACAAACGAAAAGGAACACACTTATATACGTATACAGAAATAAAATAGAAGAAAAGCTGCTCAAAAAACAAACAATAATAAAAACTTAAAATATTAATAGTTTGCTTTCACCTACAAGTTTTGGGTTGAAAAATAAAACTATATTAAATTCCATTGTGAGACAAGTTCTCTAAATTTTCTAATTTTTTTGAATATAAAACCCGAAAAATTTCGAGCGCACTACAGCTTTTCGGGATTTAGTGATCTAACTCTAACGTATGCCTCTCCACTTTGAGATATTGTAAGTTGCTTAAAGCCGTTATTGCTTAAATAAAGACGTTGTGTTGGCTGCTTCATGTGCTCTTTACTAAGTTATCTTTTCGTTTTTCACGTGATAACAATCACTGGCTCTCTTTCGTACAAAAATGGTTAATCGTTAGTTAGTCTATGACAAATAAACAACTTGTTACTTAAGTCAGTTGCTCTTGTTGCGTTTTCCATATAAAATAGTGCTACAAAAAATACAAAAATATTGATACATACTAAATTGAATTTATGTGAAACATTCAAACTTACTTACTTGACACATAATGGAAATGAAGTTACGGAAACATATATTTCCCAGGCGATGGTGTGATATTTTATGTTTTCTGCTAATTGCACTCTTTCTCCCACCAATAGCCTTGTTTGATTTAGTTATTGTTGTACCGGCTACACATCCACCGGGCGAGTTTATGCATAACTTCATTTTTACATTGGGCGTATTCTTATTTACAAATATTTATGGGAATATGTTTGCTACGATGATGGTGGATACCAGTGTGGATGGTAAATACAATAATGTTTTTTAGTGCTTTTAAATTATTTAATTCTAGCCAATTGTTTATAGCTATTGACTTGGATTCGGTAACCCCGCTAAATCCACGCGCCAAAGGCTGGTACACCTGTAAGCATTGTTTAAGGTTGGTGCCACCAAGATCGTACCACTGCAAAGGTAAATAATTGACATGTCTTTAAATATTGACTAGGAGTTGCGACAATATTTATGATGCATCATTCATAATAAGTGTTTTCGATTTCAGCTTGCAAAACATGCATTTTGAAACGTGATCATCACTGTGTATTCACGGGTTGTTGCATCGGCCACTACAACTTTCGTTTTTTCGCATTGTTTCTGTTTTATATGTTTATTGGTTCGGCGATATCTATCGGCTACCTTACATATTACATGTTTTGGGTGCACGCTAATATATTTCTTCGTTTTCTCAGTTTCTATAAAATGATTTGTCCAATGTTAATGGCACTTGACGGTGGTATATGGAATAATTTACCATTAATATTTTATTATCTGAACATAGTTGCAATAGTTTTATCGTCCATACTATTGGTCTATCATGGGATACCAATTATTAATGGAAGTACTTCGTATGAAAGACGCTTAAATTACCCTTATGGTAGAGATCTATACACTAATTTGAGTTCAATTTTTGGTAAACGTATGTATTTGGTGTGGCTGTCTCCTTTTTTAAGCAGTAAGTTGTTGCAAGATGGTACGAATTGGGATGACGAGAAAGGTATATCAGTAGTAAGGCTATCACGGCATAGGAACAAAAGACAACGTATGTTACGTAGCACACGTAGAACTATTTCGGATTGAAAAACTAAACCTCATACACATATAGTTGTTAAAGACTTTACATTCAAATCAATTAAATTTATTGTAAACCTAAACCTCATAAATAGTTGTTAAATCTTTTCATTAAAATATGGTTTTTGTTTTTTAATATAATAAATACCATACTTTCTCATTACAAGTATAACATAAATAAGCTTTGAGTTTTCAGTTTATATAAGTATAGTTTTTAAATTTTAATTTTAAAAACTACTAGCTGTTAATGTCATATTAACATTACTGATTAAATATAACCCCTTAACGACTTACCACAACTCAGCATAATATTTATTAAAATATTTTGTTGTTAACTCTATAATAATAACTCATAATTATTTTTTGTCTTCACGAAATTTGTAGTTTTGAATAAATATTCTGAAAAATCAATGCGTTTTTCAAAATCGACATCATTGTATTGATAAAAAATTATTTTGATTCTTTCGGGCTTAAATCAAAACGTTACTATAAAATACAAGTGCTTCTTATCATGGCAACTCTGTTTTCGTAGAATGAATTTATTCAGAAAAAGAAGAAGAATATTCGTTGCCAAAAATCGGTAGTAAATATTTGTTTATATTACTTAAAAGTGTTAGAATATCTTTAAAACACAAGCACAATAATCGATTTTTAAAACGCTTTTCAATATGCGACTGCGTCGTAAGTTTTTGCCACGTTCTTTGCGTGATATTGGATGTTTCTTAATGATGATAATTTTCATACCAATAACGTTCGTTTTTGAGTTGACCGTTGTTCTGCCTGAGTTTCATGCTACGAATGGAATAATCTATTGGCTCACATGCTTATTTGGAATATTCCTTCTATTTAACTTGAAAGCGAATATGCTAGCTTGCATGCTGGTAGACACAAGCGCTAGAAGTCAGTTTTGCATGAAAACATCATCGATTTAAATTTATTCATACATAGCTCTTTCTTGCAGCTGTGGTATTAATGCCACCGGCACATGAACGTCAACGTCAATATTGGCGTTATTGTTCGGTTTGTGAAATGTTGGCTCCACCACGTTCTTGGCACTGTAACATTTGTGATACATGTATACTCAAACGGGATCATCATTGCGGTTTTACTGGGTCATGTATTGGGCATCAAAATCATCGTTATTTTGTTTTCTTTGTACTTTATTTGGCCATCGGTGCCACATATGCCGCAATTTATAATAGTATCTATTTGTGGTGGCTGCATTCGGAGATTTACGTCAATTGGTTGACCGCCATCAAAATCGTATTTCCCATGCTTATGCTCTGCCTCGATGTATCGTGGCAAAACTTTTATTTGCTCATCTACATGCTGAATGTAATTACAAGTGCTTATTCCATTGTGCTTATCGCTTATCATGCTCCTTTTATAATATGTGGAGCTAAGGACTGCGAGCGGGATGCGAAACGCTATGATCTTGGCTTACGACGAAATTTGGAAATGGTTTTGGGTAAGCGAATGCACATGACTTGGATATCACCATTCATCCGAAGTGACTTACCTCATGACGGTATACACTGGGAGAATGTTATAGACGAAACGGAAAAGCGTCGATAAAACTACAGCATTAACATATGCGAATCTAAGTGAAGAATCTCTAGTCTAATTCCGTATATTATATAGATTTTTTAAAGCATTTAATTTACGCGAATCGAAATTTATACTAATTGTTCTAGTTTGTTCGTTTATAAAAAAAATTTCCACCTATAATTTTATTCATAAACGAATAGTTAAATCCCGAATTTTTGCATTTGTTTTTAAGAATCAGCTTTATTGCCACAACAAAGATATTCCATCATTACGAAACTAATTTAAATATAAAATAACTATAGTTCAATCTATTTAACGAATTCATTTGCTTACGAAGTTTTCTCCAACCAGTGATTTTAGTTTCGATAAATGCACTTCATTTAGGGTGAAACCAGCATTGATTCTTTCAGCCATTGGATGTGAGTCCATATTATTTTCGACAGCATACTGTAAGCAAGTTAGAGCCTTTGTAGGCGCTTTATTTTCAATGCAACTGTCAATATACTCCTGAAGGCATTTCTCGGATGGGGTGCCAGGTATACGATGTTGGTTTTTGTCGATATGAGTAAATACTTCGCTAGCTTTTTCAAAATCACCACTTCGCACCAATAACACCAATATATCACCAATCATTTTGCCTGTAAACTGCAAATCCCTTGCCCGCCGTCCTTCGGGTTCAGCAATTTTTTTAAAAATGTCCAACGCGATTTTACCCACTTGCTCGGGTATAGATTGATGAGACGGTAAATCTTCGTGAGCTGGATTATCTACTAATATCTGGAGTGTACGTGTGAGTAGACTTTCACGTGTTATGTGATCGAAAATCACCATATCGGACCATAAGCGCGGCATCAGCTCGACAGCGCCATTCATTTCGACAGCTTTCAATATTTCTTCCATTATACCCGGTTCTGGAATGTACACATTCGGTACAAGTAAATCATAGATCTTCATGAACTCATCGATAGGTTCAGTCTGACAGAGTAGCGCGATATAGTGCCGATAGTATATTGACTCTTTATAAGTATCACCAATCAAATCGTAGTTGTTGCCAGTATGCAATAATTCATCGACTTTCTTGGCTAGCGATTTGTCATGTAAGTGATTGCGACATACATCCATGGCGGTAGTAAAGAAATATGTGTCCTTCGGATGCTGTATCGAAAATTCACGGCCTTTTATCTCATTCAAGATATCGACTATTATGTGTGAAACAGGTCCGCGCTCTCGACAGAAAATAATCAATAGATAGTAGTATGTGCATAGGCTTGGTTCAATTTCTAACTGTTTGAATTCTGCGAGTACTTTCAGAGCAGAGCTGCGTGCCAATTTGAAGTTACCGAAAGTGCTCACTACTTCCAGTACCGCATTTAATGTTCCCAAATTAGGACGCAAATGTTGATGAGCCATTTGCTGAAGTAAGTCGCGACAAAGCTCCAAACGCTGATCTGCTGTCTCTTTTAAAAAATTTGATACACTTATAATCGCATTAAAGGTTTGCGTGTCCAACTCAAATTGTTTCTCTGTGGCTTCTTGTAGCAGTGCATAAGCTCGTTCAGCCTATTATATAAGAATTTAATTACATGCATTCTATATACAAAAAAGTATCACTAAGCTCACTTGGAAATACTTTGACATGCCCCTTATAAGTGCCGCGTATGATTGCGCAGTTTTTGGTTCTATTTCTCCGAAAAGTTGTTCAGCTAGTTCACCGTCTTTCCAAGTTTTACGATTGCGTTCACGTGCATCTGCATTGGCCTTAAACCAACGTTCCTCAATCCACTCTTCCGGCAATGGTTCCTCATTATTGTAGAAGCATATGAGCTCGAGTAATTGCTGTTTCGAATCGTTAGTGATTTCAATACCTTTCTGTTTCATCAAATTGTATACTGCTATGGCATCGGTAATTTGCGAGTGGCGAATCAAGTTTTGCAGTGTATCAGCATTTACATCGGAGTCCTCGGTAAATACCATTTGTGGTGCAAATGCTTCTATTGGCGGTTGAGCTTCTTGGTGCTATCAAACAAATTGGCAGTGATATATAAAATATATATAAATAGTACCGTTAAAGATTACCTTAAAAACATCACGATGTTCCTCTCTTATGAACTTAGCAGCTTTACGCCCGGCCTCTTGCGCCATAGCAAATGTACGCTTACCCACATTGGACATTGGTATTAAATAGGGATCGTCATGATATTTATAATGTGGTGCCGTAGGATCACGCCCTACTGTGCTCGCTAATGCATTTAATATATCTGTTGGAGAACGTTGTACCCGGTTTGGTATTTCGATACGATCTTCCGATGCAGCTACATTACTATTTAACCGTCCACTACTGGTGGCAAGCAACTGTGCTGTGCCTGTGTACAGTCGTGGTAATCGACGCGTTAAATACATCTTTTGCTTTTGTGTTACGAAATTTTATTATATTTATTTAAAAAAGTGTTAAAACTAGTGTTGTTACGAGAAAATACGCGCAAGCATCGCAAAAGTACAAATTAAAAGGTTATGTCACCGACTGAGTCTCGTTTGACAGCTGAACAGCTGAGCAGTGTTTATGGTGAGTGCACATTGAAAAGGTTTAAGTTGCTGGTTTTATATTAGCAAGTAATTTTAAAATTAGAAAAGACGTCAATGTTATTTAATATATTATATTTATCTGCCTTACAAACTGAACGATCAAAATTAAGCTCTTGTAGGCAAAACTTTTTTATTTGCCAAGATATCTTAACGAAATTTCGTAAGGATTATTGTTCAAGGCTACAATATCCGAAAAAAATTCCAGAAGGGACTACTATAGCATATAGCAGCCTTACAAACTGAACGATCAAAAGCAAGTTCCTGTATGGAAACTATCTTATATGTAAAGACTATTCAACTTCGGTACAACCAAGTTTTTTTTTTTTGTTTTAGTTTACAAGTATATCGATCTCTACGCGTATATATTAAAAAAATAGCAGGTTAACTTTTAACATAAATATTATGTCAAAACAATATTTTTATCAGAACTTTTTCTATTTTTCGTGCAGTGACTGTTAATGGTTTTAAGAATTTTGTACATTAATTCATATCTAATTCGAACTTACGAATTATTAGTGCTGCTGCGCGTTTGTTAGTCCCTGACCGGATACAAATCACAATTTACCGTTACCCGTCCGTATTCGGAAGATCATCGAACATCGCCCTTTATATCCAGTTTCCTTAACCCAATTTTAATAAGTGACCGATATATATATTCTCTGTAAAAGTACTTGAAGCTTAGAATATATACAGAAAAACAATACCCATTTACGAGCCACTTGCGAGGCATCCTCAAGTCACAGTTTGCAGTAGATCCAATTACCCTTGCAAAATAATGCAGGCACATACATACATATCTACACAATTATAAGCTATGTGTGCATGTCTATTCACAGATATTTATCGCACCTTCAAGTGAAGCTTAAAAGCGTCTCTCAACGTATTATTGAAGTTAGTCTTCCTCGCGTTTAAATCGCATAAGCATTAAAATTCGGCTGATCGGCTCATTCCGGCTTATTTCCATTTACACATATTCCGCATTGCATATCAGTGATAAAATGTCTAAATTGTTATTGTATTACGACGATGTCAGCCCTCCGGTACGCAGTTGTATGATGCTGATCAAAATATTGGAGTTAGATGTGGAGTATAAATATGTAGATTTGTTCAAGGGTGGCCAATTAGAAAAATCATTCTTAGAGGTGAAAATCCAATGTGATATACTTGTACATGCGTATTTTTGTTGTTATTTATTGTACTCCATTTTAATGCACTCTCAGCTGAATCCGAATCACACAGTGCCCACTTTGGTTCATGATAATCTGGTTATAACCGATAGCCATATTATACTTACGCACCTTTGTGAGAAATTCGAGAAGGATAGTAAAGACGAAAAATTATGGCCCCTAAATTATGAGGAGCGTATACGAGTGTGGAATATGCTCTTTTTCGAGTGCTCGGTGCTCTTTCGTAGAGATAGTGAGTTTTTGGTAAGTAATTAAAAATAATAAAAATACTTTTCCTATGAAAAAGTTCTGAAAAAATGTTATCAAAATTATTTCTATAAACTTAACCGAAGAGGCTAAATTTAATATATTGAGTTGATATGAAAAGTATCAAACAAATGATCGGAAATAATTATATTTGGTGAAATGAGGTTTGGACCAAAGCTAAGACCAATTTCATTCATATTCAGAGGTAAACCACATAATTTTTAAGAAAATTTGTTAATTTAATTTTATTAAAGTAAGACACATTTTGACCAACCCAAATAGAGGCAGGTGGAAAAGCGGAAATCATTATATAGGATATATTAGGTTCAGAGATAATCAAGGGTTGATTGCATTAATTTTTGACATTGCTCATGGAATACTTGTGAACTTAGTTTTGAGCAATTTTATAAATATAAACATATACAATTTTCCCCGATAATATATCTCACAGATTAACCGATATTTTCGGCGAAAGGTCGGCTATGGTCCGACTTTCACATATTTTGGACTCGTGATCGCATACCTCTATGGCACTATTTGTGCAGATTTTCATCTGAATATACTCATTGGTGCTTGATTTGTGTACTGAAAAGCGTAAATGTAGGCCTACGTTCAATTTTGACCCCGGCTACTATAAGGACCTCTTGTACAATCTCGGTTGTAAATTTTAATGTCTCTGAAGCATTTAGTTATTGATTTATAGCGCTTTTAGTAGTTTGCAACAAAACCGTTGTCGGTAGGGGTTCTTAGAGGATTCCTAAGCGAATTTGCTTATTGTAGCTTTAGAGGTTTAGGAGATATGTACATTAAACCTACAACGTATCTTAACGCTCATACCGGTACACCTGGTACATATATATATCTACTTGTGAATCATCGCAACCGATATTACTCTCCGTTTCAATCAATTTAGTGACAGTGTTTTGCGTTCATCAGTTTCAAATAATTTAGAGCAAAATTCACCCATGGCTTTAATCAATTTTGTGGAATTTCAAACGTTGCGAAACCACTAAACCACAAAAGTTTTCTAAATTCTCCACTTCAACTTGAAGCATGGTGACATGTATACATATTTTATGGCTGCTGTAATTTTCAATAGATTAAAAAGTTAAGAACAATCGATTTTCATGTGCAAGTGTCGCTTTATTGAAAGTTGTGAAGTTGAAATGGAAACTTCACTAAATTGAAGAGGAGAGAAAAACACTTTAAGTTGAAAGCCGGAAAATAGCACGTAAAATACTAAAAATACTAAAAGAAAACTTACATTGAGGAGTTGCAAGTAATTTTGTGGGAGACTTTACCACGCTCTACTAAAAATTTACTTCCTGGTTAGTTATTTTTAGCCCCTTCAAGTACATACAATATTTTTTTTAATAAGAGTCGAATAAGCGTCGTGACTTACTTTGCCAGCTACAACCTTCGATGCCCTAAAGAAGATTTAAAAAATATCGGCATCAATTTTTTGGTCGCAGATTTATAAACATTTTCATAGCCAATATTGTCCAAATTTTTTAACTTTTTCTCAGCTTTGCCGTGAAACTGCTACTACTTTGGATTGAATTTTTAACTTTTTGTCTTCAAATATCCCTGAGACAAGTCTGAATGAGTAAATTTCATACCGCTAAAAGTTCGAGGATTTCTTAGCTTAAAGTGGACTAGCTTTTTGTAAATTCTTCGTCTTTTGGTGGTGTTCTCGCCGATGTTTTCGAACAACTTAAAGATCCTAAAAGCTGCAACTCGTAAAGAAATGCTTTGAAAAATTTATATGAGATTTTTTTATTATTCTGAGGAAAAATAATTTTCTACAATCTCGGAATTTATTTTGAATGGATTTGAGCACATAAATCAATAATCGAATCGATTTGTTCGGTCTGGTAGTATGATTCTACGTAGCTTCTGTATAAAATTTAATTTGGAGGTCATTTTTACTTTTACTTTACCAATGACTATTTCCTCTCAATTGAAGTCGACATTCTCCTCATCAAAGTATGTTTTTCTTCTGACTCAGTTTTATATAAACAGTTTGAGTATGATTTGAAAATATATGTTAAAACGAATTATCAAAGTTTTTCAAAGAACGGGATTGTAAAGTATAACCTCAAAAATTAATATTGACTATGTGGTATACTTACATACATAACCTAAAAGTCGCGATATTTTGAACACAAATCTGTTTTGCATATTTTCAGTCCGGTATAGTGCGCGGTGGTTTCGCAAGTGTCGATTTAACTTTGCACGAACGCAAATTGTTGGAGGCGTACAATATGATGGAGTCATATTTACGACGGCACAAATATATGGCGGGTGATCATGTAAGTAAAAAAAAAACCTTTTATCAGCACTTCGAATGCACATTCATATACTCATGTATATTACATAACTTCTCCGAACTTCCAAATTTACTAATTTTTAAATGGCTAAAAGATAAACATATTTTTTCATAGATTGTTGTAAAATATTTTTTTGTATACATAAATATATCCAATTTTTATACAAAAATGATTATTCCTATATTAAAGGGCACACCTAGTGTGACAACCTATAAAAACAATTTTTTGGGAATTTCAAAAAATAAAATTACTGTAACTGTACGCGTATTTTAAGAATATACAATAACATATTTTAAGAAAATAATTAAATATTTTTCGAGTTACACGCATTGTCCCTTGGTCCTCCATTGCTGCAGTGACTGTGGCTTAATGGCTTCGTCAACAAATAAAATTGTCGCTATTGGGATGAGTCAAATCCTTGTGTGGTTCTGAAAACGCAATTGCACCCTCAAAAATTTACCGTTTGTTGCGGATTGTGGTATGACAGCAACATTCGGCCTTATTTTTTTTCGAAATGATACAGGAAATGCTGTTACCAATAGCGAGCGTTAGAACACGATGTTGACCGACTATTTTTCCCCGGAATGTGTTGAAATTGGAATTTGATGAATTCTATATCCAACAATACGGTGTGTTGCCTCATAAACTCGGACACATTGCGTGCAAAGTTTGGTGACTCGTTAATTTCGAGAAATGTCGCAGTCAAATGACAGATCTAACGCCTCTAGATTATTTTCTCTGGGGGTATGCTAAATCAAATCACTATAACCCGAAAATCCAACCGAAATGCTGCACTGGGTCAACGAAAATTGATGTAAACGGGTAAGTATAATCATAAATGGCCTAAAATTATCTGCAAAAAAAAATGGAACCCATTTTGACTAACTTTGAGTGTTTTACTACATTTTAACATCACGTCGTTCTAATTGTTAGACTCTTTATTTTCCATACAATGACCTACGTCCAAAAAATCATTCATTGACGAAATGGCGGCGTTTTTGAAAAAAAGTTGAGTTCTATCCGAAATTTTGGTAGTTTTTGGAACAATATACAGAACATGCAGAAATAATTTGATAGTGAGGGGTACAGTTTAGAAGCATTTAACTCAAAAAGTATTTAAGATATCGTTTTAAAATTTTAATATGTTATTTTTAAAGGTACAAACAATAAGCTATCGAAATAAGAAAAAAACGATTTTTTTTTTTTAATTCCACACCAGGTGTGCCTCTTAATCATGTGTATGAGAAACTAAAGTAAAATTAACGTTCTTTTGGAGTTGAGCAATAGGGTTGATGTTTGGTGATGATTTTTTTTTACATTAAATCATCAAATAGAACATATTAGCGGATACGACTTGAAACTTTTTTTAAATTTGTTTGAGCACCCTAATGTAAATATTTATTCCCTAAAATTAATACACATTTGTCTTCACTACACTTAGTAGCCTTCACTGTACTCTTATAATATTATTATTTCTCCCGATTTATTACGAAAGATCAATCAGACTAACCGCAATTTCATTTGATTTACTGGATCAGTTACCGAAATTAAAAAAAATCATGCACACACACACTAACATTTATATACATTTATTTACAAACTATTTACTTATTTATGTGCATTTACAATGTATCAAAATGTACGTATAAAAAATATGCATTGCCCTGGCAGATGACAATTGCCGATATCTCCATCGTGACCACATTGAGTACGGTGAATCTAATGTTTCCGATTGCTGCTGGCGCCGCAGATAGATGGCCTCTATTGAACGATTGGTTTGGGCGCATGCAAGCATTGCCGGTATATCACATTAATCAGACTGGACTGGAAAAACTTTGTGTTGTCATCGAACGATTTGGTAAATTTAAATTTCCAAATAGCGTAAATGTGGCGCCCGAGGTGAAACTGCCGCGAGAAGAAGTCACTAGTGACGAGGCAAACGCCGAGAGCCAAGAAAAAGCTGCTGAAAAGTAGTAAACAAACTTTTCCATAGAAGAATTGTAAACAAATATATTCAAATACATACATAAATATATAAAGAACTAAATTTGTATATACCTACATACATAATATTTAAAATTTTTTTATTGAATAGTTTCAAGTTCCCAAAATTTTAACTATTTGAAATCAGTGATATAATATATTATTTATTTTAATGAACGGCATTTGTTCAAATAGTATAGATCACAATGAAGGTAGAATCACTGATTTCCCTGTGAATCGGTGTATCTCGGTATTATATACTACTAGGACTACTATAGAGGTTGTTTTTGGTATATAATAGAGGTTGTTTTTGGTATATATAATATTTACTTTAAATCCTTATGTTAATGTTTAAAAGTGAGCAATATTGAACTACTACTTTTCGTATGACGTCATTTTAGCCCAGCCAGATTCTTCCACTTTATAATAGATAAATCAAACATTAATGAAAATATCGCAACAAAATTTACCTCAAATAGTGCTTTTAATGTGTGCCATTCCTAATTTAAATAAGTAGAAATCGGACTATATTTTTCAAACAAGTATGTGGACCTTAGTCCCCACGACTGATATTGAAAACATTGGTCAAATTGTAAGAAATCTAAATACAAGTAAAACTGTGTAGGCATATTTTTCCCAGTAATAATGTGGCCTCGTGTTAAAAATGAATATAATTGGTTAACTGGTTCTCCATGCCCCCTTACCCTATTATGAGGATTATTTCAGTTGACTTTATACTGTATAGGTAGATCAATATGTAAGATATCGTAGCAAAATTAAGTGAAGTGAATATACAATAGTTTGGTGGCGAAAAATAGGTAAAAAGGTTCATGGATTACACGAGCCACCATATATTGCATATAAGATAGAGGGTAGATCCAATTTTAGGAGCAAATCATAGTTAAAAGTTATGCTAATTCAAAGTGGTTAGTTAGGTTACTATATAATTATAGCGCTTTCCCCTAATGAATCCATATATGTTAGGAGGCAGAAAAAGCTGTTTCATCTCAGCAGACACTGCCAAATTTGTGACTAGCACTCTTACCTGTCAAAAACAAGAAAAAACGTTAACTTCCGTTGCGCCAAAGCTATAACACTCTTCACAATTACAAAAGATTTCATACAAGAACTTGATCTTGATTGGTAAGTTTGTATGTCAGCTATATGCTGAAGTAGTGTGATCTTAAAAATTTCTATGGAGATTATACCGTTGCCTTAAACAATTATCCGTGCCAAATTTCGGGAAACTATTTTGACAAATAAAAAAGTGCTCCACACAAGGACAGGATTTCGATCCTTTAGTTCGTATGGCAGCTATATGCTAGAGTGGTCCGATATCGGCGGTTCCGACAAATGAACAGCTTCTTGGAGAAAAAAGTCATGCCGATCATTTACATATATGAGTTTGTTTTATAACGTCTCCGACGTTTCCTTTTTGGTGTTGCAAATTTCCTCGCAAACTTAATATACCTAGTACAGGGTATAAAAAACACCAAGCCAAATGATACAAGTGGAAATAAGAGCTCGATTAAGCACTTTAGAATTAATGTTTTAATGAGGGTCGCTACTTGAAACAAGTGTACACAAGAATGATGGAGATGGAGATTGTTTATATCATTCATAAGTAATATATACTTTCCAACAGATTGGTTTCACTCATTTCAATTACATTTCAATCTTCCGATTTGTCTCCAATTAATACTCAACAATCATTTCAAAACTGTTCCTTCAATTCATTGCTTTCTAATTCCATTTCGGTGTAATAAAATTGTAAACTCAACAATCAGTCTCTTTTTACAAATCAAAGTGAAAGTCATGTGTAAAATTTTCTTTTAATTTCAAAATTCAAGCATTTTGGAAATGATTTGTATAAAATTCCTCTAATCATCATCAAAAACAATAAATTGTCAGTGCTTTTAACGTCTATCTTTAACTCAAAAATAAAACTTAACTAATCACATTGCAAAAGTGAAAATTGCGTGAAATTTTTAATAAAAAATTACAATTGTTCCCCAAAAATGTTTGCCAATAATAATAATTATAATGTGCGTCCAATTTTGTATTACGACGACATAAATCCACATTCGCGTGCCGTTTTAATGATTTTGAATATGTTGGATGTCGACATTGAGCTGCGTGCCGTCGAGATGATCAAAGGTGAACATTTAAAACCTGCCTATGCAAAAATCAATCCAGCACACACCGTACCCACCATGGTGCACAAGGACCTCATCATCACCGGCAATGCGATATTCTCTTATGTTTGTGAGAATAATGACAACGAAAAGGCAAATCAGTTGATTGCTTTGAAATGTTACAAACGACATTGTTGCGTGTTGTCTCGACTCTTCTTCGAGAGTCAAGTATTGCATCGCATACATGGACATTTGATGGTAAGATGCTGTGGAAAATTTGTGACTTACGTTTTTACAATGCTTGCATTACAGACAGATTTAGTGCGAAAAACCATTTACCAAACAGATGTGGATTATCATCAAAGAAAGGTGGAGCATGCTTATGATATAATGGAGGTGTATCTGAATGATGGCCAGTTCATGGCGGGATCTGTGGTAAGTGGTGTGTGCTCATAGAGGAGATGCTTATAATTAACAAGTCAGCTGTGAGGTTGAGTTCAAATAGAGGAGTTTTGAGTTTCCATGTGATAGCGGTTTGCGTCTGTTGGCAAACATTGGGGGTCAATAAGTTTTAGAGAGTGCTTAAAGGGACGAGAGAAACTTCGTTTAAATTATGAACCCTTTTCTAAATAGTTTTTTGTATTTTCTAACATTACTGATTGCTTTTGAAAAGGTCTACCACAGGGTTTTTTATTTTTAGTGGATCTTGATTAAATTATATGACTAGATAGTTCATAGAGAATTTGTAAAGTTCAGTGTGGGTATGTGTCTTTTTACACTTTTACTTTGCTCTCCTCTCACAAAATACATGATTCTCTGAAGGTATTAAGTTTTCATATTGCTTCAAGAGCTTGTTATCGATCACTTTTCCTAAATTCTGTTTTCTTATAGTTAACTGCAGCTGACATTTCATTTGTCGCTTGTCTTGGTGCCTTGGACATGATGTTTCCAATAGATGGCGATCGTAAAAGATGGGAGAAATTAAATGATTGGTATAGGCGCATGCGCTCATTATCAATACAGAAAATTAATGAATTTGGCATTGAGAAGCAACGACAAATTGTCGAATATTTTGCAAAATTTCAATTCAAGTCAGATATAAAACGTTTTACCACCGGACTACGCGAATCTCAAATACCAGGCTTTCCATCACGCCCTGATCGTTGTAGCGTTAGCATACAAACAGTTAGTGGACCAGAACCCACACTTGATATTTTGAGCACAAAAAATAATATTGGTAAAATAACGTATTTAGAAGATCAACCTTCATTGACGGTTACTGGCGAGAGAAATGTAACAATGCAACCAAATACGCTGAAAGAAGGAGTAGCTCCAGAAATTGTTAATGAAATCAATAAAATTGCCAAAACGAAAATCAACCAAATATTTAATGAAGAGCTTGAGAGGGAGCTAGCACGATTTTCGGAGCACAATTTTCTACCTCCGCCAATAATTGAGGAACCAAATCCGTTGGAAACACCCGTTCCTATTTTGAATGATATTGAAAAGTCTGTTGCTTTTTCTGAAACACCAAAAGATGAGAAACCCATTGCCACAGATAGAAGCTTAGGTGGTGCACACAAGGAGAGACCACCAGTGCCACCCAAGCGTAAACGATATTTGCTATCGAAGGTAGAAAATTCACACGAATTAAATACTACAGCTAAAAATATACAAAAACCCGATGAATGTCCGTTGATGGCAGATAAACAAGAAAGTGTGTTCTACGAATACGTCAATGCTACTTCAACACCAAATAATTACATGGCCCAGAGACAGGCACACAAGTTAAATCGCTTAAATGGTGGTGTTGAGTCAACAATGCTTCTAGAAAAAATTAAAGAAAATGAAATTAGATTACAACCGCCTACAGTCAACCCATTGGTATCAACTAATAATTCGATGGAGACCAATAAAGTGTCACCGAAAACTTCGGAAACCATAAAAATCGCGAAAATAATAAATGATCCGAATTCTACCGAGTCCAATATTGGAAACCTGCCTGAAGCTTCACCATTAATAGCAGCTATTAATTCGAGGGAGAGCAATAAGGCGTCGCAGAAAACCACAAAACCCAACAGTCGAGCAGAAATTCACGCCACCACGAAAGTGAAACCAACAGAAACTCTACTACCAGAGGGTTTACCGATTAATGGTCAACAAGCAGCTCTAAGTTATACTCCTGGTATCGTCGCACCCAATTTACTGTTGCCTGCACCACCGCCATCACCAGAAAATTACTCACAAGATGAAGAATTTCCACCACCACCATCTGAATTATTAATACCAAAGTTGAATACGCGAGCAAAGACGACACCAACTACAAGGTTACCAAATATCAAAGCAGCGGTTGAATCAAATGAACGGTTGGGCATGAAAAAAACTAGTGGGAAGCCTAAAACCGACGTTGCTGTCGAAAGCATAGCGAAGCTTGTACGTAAGAAATCATGTGATTTAAAGTCATTAACAGGAAGAAAACCTCACGCACAACAATCTAAAGTTTGCAAACTCGCACAGAAATTGAATAACGGCGGATTATTTGCAAGTGGCACGCGATCGCCTTGTTCTAATCGTTCTCAAGGGTCTATTGTTCGAGATCGTTGTAAAAAAGTGCTAAATACGTTAAATGTTTCAAAGCCCATACAAAATTTAACAGCACAAACAAAGGTTTCCCCAAATGTTAAACGTCTAGATAAAAAAGTTCAAAAATTGAAAAGCGATTCAGTGGGAACGATAGTCGAAAGTTCTGACTCATCGGCAAATATAATACAAAAACTGATCGGTCACACATCTAAATTTAGTGCAACAAAGGAATTAAAAGCCTACAGTACAGAAAATCAGCAAAGAGTTGAAGGAGGTGGACAGCCAGCGCTTGAAGGCCACGACTCTGCATTACAGCAGTCAACAATTATCGTAGGGAAATCGAAAACAATGATGAAAATGATAGATGAGAATAATTGTGAGGAGCGCTGGCACCAACAGAACTCTCCAAAGTCACCCAAACCAAGACCAAAAACTCCATCGAATCTTGCTAACAAGGAAATGAAGTCAGCAAACCAAAATTTCGTAGCGAGAAATAAAGAGAAAACATATCCAACTCAGGCACGATTTCAAACTAAAAATTTAAAATTTGTGGGTAGTTCTCAGCGAACAAAGTTCTTTGATACTAGTCCATCTAAACCTGGTCAGAGTCTCAATAAGCAACCGCCCAAAGTAGTAGCAGAGAAGAAACACACAATTAAAAATAAAAAGAAAAGAGGTACGAAAGCGCACAGCGGTAACATAGGCAACAAAACACCACCTCCCTTGAACGAAGCTTTGCCCACTTCAACGCCATTACTAGGCAAAAATGCAACCCAGCAGTTTGCGCTCGAACAAGCGACACCACCATCCGCAGTAGGTACTGTTAGTAGCACATTGAAAACGCTAACTGAAACTATTCATATCTCCCCAAAACTTACATCACCGCCAACTAGTAATTCGAATGACACCATTGTCGCAGATGTGCCGGTAAAAGTAGGCTTGGTGGCTAAGGCACTACAAACACTGAACGTTGCAAACTCAAATTTTCGACCTCCGATCAATGATTTAAATAAAGAACTAACTCCATGGACTCCGCCACTTCCTCCACCACCGCCGCCAAATCCTCGGCAATTAGCTACAACTTCACCACCATCATTGCCGGTTAAAGATATTCTACCACAGGCTGGTACGATAGCAAAGGCACTACAGTCTTTGAGCGCAGTTACTTCGGAAGCAAATCCGTTATGCGGCTCAGTTAAACCATTTCGGAAAGCTGATTTGAAGATGAAATTTGTGGAATCAGCAAGATCGTCAGAAGTAACAGATAAAGGTTTAAACAAAAATGTTACTAGTAATGCCGAAGAAAAAATTGAGGCGAGACCTTTGGCCGAAATACTTACTGCAACAGTAAAGCAAACGAAAAAAGAAAGTTTCGATGATACTAAATCAACTACACTGTCCGAGGGAATTAAGGAAATGTTATTAAAAATGAAAACTCTGCCAGATAAGGATGTTATGCCAGCTGTTATAGTAAATAGCATGACTGAAAGTATAAAACCTTTTCAAAGCGTACTCATAACACCTTCAACGAGCGTTATTACTGGTCTTAGGAATTCAACAGATAAAATAATTGCAGACTCTGAGTCAAACAATCCCCTATTGACAGCGCAGCATTTGTCGAATATGGAAAATTTATCCGAATCCGTAGTACCGCCGATCATATGTGAACCCGCAGAACTATTGATACCATCCAAGAAAGTATCAATTTCAGAGTCATACGATATGGCAAAACCTTACCCCTCATTGGCTGCTCGCACCGATGCTAGCCGTTTATCTGCAAGTGAAGTTAAATCATCCAAAGAAGAAAAAAATAAGCTTGAAGCGTCCAAAAGCAAACGTTATGTTATAGACAGAACCATGATAAATGACGGTATTGTAGATATGGAACCTACACCCCTACCGGGACAGCCGAATATTATTATCACTGGTTATACGCGTATGGAACCGAAAAACGTCGCCCCTTTGTTTGTTGGCGCAAGTCGCCCACAAGGTAATATGATAGCACCCACACTACGACGACCCACAAACGGTCCACGTACTCATGGGCCCTCAGCAAATGTGGTGATTTCCACTTTTGGCTACACACCGATGTCTGATTTAGATAGCATTCCGGAACATCTCATACATATGATTAATAAGCCGATATATAATGAACAGCAAACAGCACTTCCTCCACCAGTTTTGAGTACAGAAACTGCGCAGGTAACAACAGTTGAAGAAGAGCGTGCGCTTGCTCCACGTCATAAAGGCGATAGACCGTATCCGACAGCACATAGAAGTAGCAGCCAGCGCAGAACTGAGCAAAGTATTAATATTAGAGGGCGAGTTATGTGATCGAATATTGCCAGCTTTCAAAATCATTACTAACGGTAACTAGTTTGTGGGTTAGTGAAATATATGAGAAGACTTTTTATATAAGAAATTAGTATTTAGGTTTGTTTTATTTCTTGTCGTTTAGGATATATACTAAATTCAACCATAGCTACTGTAATATTTTAATGTAATAATTGTGCAATAAAACTGCTAAAAATAAAGTAATCAATGTGAAACAAGCATTTTTTTTAGTAATAAAATATTTGTTATTACCCATGAAATAATCTTCGTCAAATAAGTATATTTTGTCTGTAGGAGAAGAACAACAAAGCTTTTCTTTGTACTTGTTTATCTTAAGATAACACCGTTCGCCTTAGTTGTAGCGATTATAACTTTCAGATTCTCACTTCGATTTTTGAAGTAATCTGGGGGCTTTATGAGTGGGTAAATAGTTTTCTCGATGTTGTAATTTTTATTCTGAGCTTGTATATATACTATACATCTTTGCTCCCTTAGTTTACCAATATCCATCTACTTTTTATAGGGGCGTGTTTTAAGAGGAATAGGTCGAAATATAATTTTCAAACATGATATTTCCCACAAAGATATTTACATATCATAGAAGATTTTTCGAGGGCTTTATCGAAATGCCTTAAGGGGCACCAGGTGTAACAGTTTAAAAAAAGGGTATATTTGGGAATTACAAAAAAAAAAAACACGGCATTGTTTTAAAGTTTTAAGAATAAACCTATAAATATTTTAAGAATACACAAAAAACTTTTGAAGGTAAAAATTAGATAATATTTTTGGAAATGGAAATTTAGTTTAAAAAAAACGCCTTTAAAGATAATCTGATAGAGTTGATTGAACTTAACGGCTATACTTTAGAAGGCTGTATTCAAAACCTATTTCAGATATCGATTTAAAAATTAAGTATGTTATTTTTAACAACATAGCGAAGTATGAATAATTTTTCGATTTTAGTAAATTACTAAACATTCGAGAGTTTTTTATCGTCTTTCGTATCTGACGTCACGTCATCATGACGTATGATTACTTTACGTGATCTTATAAACTCATTAAAAGCCGACGGTTATTGGTTATTAGTAACCAGTGCAGAAACCTTTGAAAATGATAAGAAAACAAAAAATACCATAGTAGATTGGAACCCATCGGAAACGAAAGATAAAATGACAAACTTAAGGGAAATATAATTTACGGGCGATCTGAGGTCGGGAAAAGCAAGGGGAGGGCGTGACTGAGTTTTTAAGGGTTAGGAATGGTTTGTCTCGATTTCCGGCTAAACTATGAGTTCTGTAGAAATAAATTATATGGCAATGTTGTAGGTAATGAAAAGGTCTATAACTTTCGTAAAGACTTTTTCCACCTAACGTCAAAATTTATGTGAAAAATTCCAAAAACCAACTCTTTTGGTTTTTTATTTTTATTTTAATGGAAACTTACCTTCTTATGTCCCAAACAAACTGTATTTTTTTGTTTTAAAAATTTTTTTTATTTTTTTCTCCTTACAAGTATATCGAAAAAATCTAATGACATAATATCAATTTTTTTAACAAGTCAGTAGGCCTTATGTTCTTGAAAGTCTCTACTTTTAGATCGTATATGGCATATACGGCACTACGGTAGATTTTCTCAGAAAATGAAAAAAATACGCCACTAAATGATACAAAACTGCTTTTTTTCAGCTGCTACGACGAAATAATAAGTATGTGAAACAAAAACAGCAACTTTTAATCGTTTTTCAGCTGTTTTTTTCTGAAACAGTTTACCTTTCCCACCCTCAGATCGCCCGTAAATTATTATCTTTTGTTTCCGATGGGTTTCTATCTACTATGTTATATTTGTTTTTAAAAATTATCTACATATAAACACTACTTGTAAAGGAGAAAATTTTGAACTTAAAAAAATATTTTACCAATGCCCCATTTTTTGACAGCTACGATCCTTATGTCAGACAAATATTTCCAATACTTTCAACAAGCTCCTCACAATAATTGCAACCCCTTTTTAAACGCACGTTTTCAATGGTACTCCAACTCATATTCATAGACACCACACACATGCATACGCACCTATTTGTAAAGGTTTGAGAATAACGCATGATAGCTGATAACAAACGCCTTGACAATAATTTCCGAGCTGCAAACAATAAACACAAAACCAACACAATTTCGGCTTGAATTGCAAATAGCTAAGAGTGTGAGTGAAATTCAGATGACGGTCAAATCATCAATATGTAACCGGATGCCAGTGCGTAGAGCTCGAGTTTAACGTTTAGCCGTGAAAGTAGGCAGATGACTATGTTGACCATACAAAGATATTTGCCTAATGCACACATAGGACCATGATGACCATGACAACTATTCATAAAAACAAGTACGTACTTATCGACGTCTAGCTGGTATGAGGTCAGACAGGGGACGTCTAAAAAATAAAAAAAAAATGACTTCGGAGAGCAAGCAAACGCCTAACATAAAAAAAAAAAATAAAAATAGCAAATAAAAACAACGAATGCACAGAACAACCCGAAAGACATTATTACCCTATCAAAGTAATGAGTTGGGTATGAAAGTATACGCTTAGAGCAAGTGTGCAGGATATTAGGCGGAAGCCAGTCCCGTCGAGGTCTACATTGCAAGAGATTACGAAAATGATTCATATGTACACATATATGTATACATAAATACATATATTTATATCAATTTCACATTCACTCCACATTTATGTGGAAATGTCGAACATAAAAATATATATAATAATATGGCATAATATAATATATAAAAAATAAAAATGTAATATGTATAAAGTAAATGTGTATATTATACAGCATTTGACTTTCCAGCTGTTGTGGAACTTAAGTCAAACCAATATTTAACATCATTTATTTTACATCATTTAATTCACAAGGCCCTAGAGGTTGTGGCCACTTTTGATTACATTGTTCTTTTGCCATTGCGTTGGCTGTTGATATTATTGTTTCACTTTTGGCTCAGGCTAATTACATGAAACACCATCTGCTCATCTGCATAAGTCATCTGCTTGGGTTGGCGTGTAAAGTATCCTGTTTACACTTTCATTAAATTTCCCACCCATAGGTTTACAAATTATTTAATGGGTAGCTGTACTCACAATTTTGAAATTGTAATGCCATGCTTATATCATCGTGTTAACGTGGTCGCTCCTTTTAATTTGATATTATTATTGAGAAGCGACTTCTGGCGAGGGTGTTAAATGAGTGCCAGGTTGTTTTTGGTTGCAAATCCCAGTTGAGGGAGATATTATTGGAAAAGGTAGTGTGAAAGCTCCTTACGTTTTTTTAACCTGAAAAATAGTTTTAAAATCTATCCGACGTTCGAATGCGGTATAGAACTGGCGGTACCTTTCTTAAATACACAATAGTCTTAGCTAGATGTACAGAATACGCGGTTTGCCCTTTTTAATGCGGGATTTGGCACTCCTAGTGTTGCAATTTGGCAACTCACACTTAATCGCAAAGTTTTAAATTTTTGATGTTATATATATGAGCGCTATTTGTGTTGTATACAGTAACTTGAAATATTCATCTCGGCCAAAAGCTGGAATTAAATCGCGAAAATTTTCGGGTGATTATTATACTCTCGCAACCTGTTGCTACAGAGTATAATAGTTTTGTTCACCTAACGGTTGTTTGTATCACCTAAAACTAATCGAGTTAGATATAGGGTTATATATATATAAATGATCAGGATGAAGAGACGAGTTGAAATCCGGGTGACTGTCTGTCCGTCCGTGCAAGCTCTAACTTGAGTAAAAATTGAGATATCTTTATGAAACTTGGTAGACATGTTTCTTGGTACCGTGAGACGGTTGGTATTGCAGATGGGCGTAATCGGACCACTGCCACGCCCACAAAACGCCATTAATCAAAAACAAATAACTTGCCATAACTAAGCTCCGCAATAAGACACAAAACTGTTATTTGGTACACAAGATCACATTAGGGAGGGGCATCTGCAGTTAAAACTTTTTTTTAAAAAGTGGGAGTGGTCCCGCCTCTAATAGGTTTAATGTGCATATCTCCTAAACCGCTAATGCTATAATAACAAAATTCACTAGAAGCAAATGTTTTTAGCACTTCTATTGACGGTGTGAAAATAGTTGAAATCGGGTGGCAACTCCGCCCACTCCCCATATAACGGTACTGTTAAAAACTACTAAAAGCGTGATAAATCAAGCACTAAACACGCCAGAGAAAATTTTATCTCTGAGATGGTATAAATTGGCTTTATAGGAACCGCGTTCAAAATTAGTCAGTGGGCGTGGCACAGCCCACTTTTAGGGGAAAACCCATATCTTGAGATCTGCTTAACCGATTTCAACCAAATTCGGTGCGTAACGTTCTTTTCATGTTTCTATGTCATAGTGCGAAAATGGGCGAAATCGGACTACAACCACGCTTACTTCCCATGTAACACCATTTTCAATTCCATCTGATTCTTTCACTTTCCACTATGCAAATCAGGTAACAATGATTATATCGGGGTAAAACTTTGCGTGAATAATGCAATTAAAGCCACCTTGCCGCCAAAAATTGTCTAAATCGAACCAAAACTGTTCAAACCCCTAAGTACTAAATATGTGGACCCCAGTGCCTATAGTTGACCTTCTACCGAAAATATCAGCCAATTTACAAAGAAATCTTAAACGAGTATACCATTTGACTTTGCGAGAGTATAAAATGTTCGGTTACATCCGAACTTAGCCCTTCCTTACTTGTTTTTAATTTGCTTTCGACGTGGATTTACGCAGCAACGCAGCGATGAAGCTCCATCAAGCACCAGTGTTTATCAATGGTATGGTGAATTTAATCGAGGTCGTAGTTGTTGTTCCGGAAACTATTGTGAGTGAGATTGAAACTACTATAGGCATTAGTGGGACCAGTTGACATTCGATAATGCATGAATATTTGACTGCAAAAAAATTTGTTCACGTACTACACAATTTGTCAATCGCTCAAAAAAAAAGCGAAGCGGTGCTTCGAAACACGTCTATGACATCGTGAGAGGGGGTGATCGTTGAATGACTTTTTTTTATTCCTATACTTGAAAAATAAGCTGATATTATAAAGGTATGTTATTTATTAAGAGATTTCCATGGAAAAGTTCATTGCATGAAAATATCACTGTAAAAGATCGTTATAAGATATATGCAATTACCAAATGTGGGCTG